CGTAGGCGTCTGACTCCTCATGTCAGACCAGTTTTATTTTTACTTTTACTTTGTCTCTTGTTTTGCTTGTTTTCCGCCACTCACCCCACCTACCACCCGATCCTTCTGTCTGACCTCAGCTTCAACACAGATGTCACTCAACACCTCCTACATCTTAAAAAACAGGTGCGTGTGAATCCTTTTTGGGTTGTCCCTGAAGACCCCACGACACCACAGTTCGTGCTGCATCAGAGCCAGAGGGGGGTAATGCTAATGTACTGACCCTGCACACAGCAAAACATGCCCAGGGCGCTGATTCACCTAGCACCACAGCAACAGAGAAACCATCCTCTCATGATCAGACACCCAGATGGATCGGGCGGGATACTTCCATGGGCTCACAAGGAGCAACAATTTTTTTTTTGTGTGTGTGTTTTTCTCTCCTTCGCTTTCTCTTCCCCTTGAACTCATATGCCAGTACACCAAATGGGTAGAGTGTCTCTCAGCACCGACGACACAGCCCAGACCATGGCATATCTTCTGATGATGTAAACAACTTGGACAGAGGCACCCACCCTGCACTACCAACATCACACAGGAAGGGCAAAGACTCCTGGTTGTATACGCTCAGCTGCATAGCAGCCAACCCTCAAACCTACGTATCACAACCAGAGTAACAAACACTGGGCCACAAGCCAGGAAAAGGGGAAGAGACCCTGCAACCGGTGTCACAGTGGAATGCCCAGCCAAGCACAGTCTTCACAGACACCACCTACTCTCTCCCCTGTTCCCTCTCTCTCTCTCTCTCTCTCTCTCTCTCTCTCTCTTCCTTTCCTACACAGGATACAGCCACGATCCTGTACCTCAGTCTCACCAGAAGACCACTGCAACCTCACAACTATACTCCTCTATCACTCATCTCTGGAAAACTGCAGAACAACTACCACTCCGTGCTTCCCGACAACAGGGAAGCACACATTAACAAGGGCCTCGCCATTCAATAAGATGCAAGCACCAGTGAACAAGTGCACCGCCGTACTCCCACGAGCCTTTCAGCAGAAAGATGGGAAAGGAAAGGAACGCCAAGGAGCTGCACCCACGTTGATTGAAATGAAACTCCGTCCAGCTGACTCAGGAACGGACATCGAGGGGCCCTCACTTCCTGCCCAACCAACAAGTTAAGTGAGATCCCAACCAACCGGGTTTTCTCCGAACCACGTTGTTTGGGAAGAGGGGGACTGTAACATATTGTAACCTGCATTCTGGAGATAAACATTCCATTTAAAGGGTCACGAAACACCAAAACACATTTTTTGAGCTGTTGACAGTCGTATATGTGTCCCACACTGCTAAAAACACTATTAGGACACCTATATTTCACTAAAAAGTGTAAATTGGTTGTTTTTGCGTTATTTCAAGCAAATTCGTACTTCCTGTTTGAAACGAATTTTTGAAGCTGCGTCACGGTCATGACATAATAGTGTGTATTCCAGCGTGCAGACTGGGCGTCTGTGCCAGAGTGTGTCTTATTACGTCTTACAGTGCGTTGCATTAATGCATGAGTAAGGCTTGGGTCAAACCAATCAGCGCACTCTATTGTGCAACTTCATTAATATTCATTACTATCACCGTGTTTTCAGGACAGAGACGCCACGTTGTGTTGGCAAAACAAGCGTGAAGTGTTGCTTTTATAGTTTGCTGCAGTTAAGTTTCGTTTTCATTTTCTCTCTGTGAGAGCTCAGACTCACGTGTGGATTACAGTGTACGCGACGCGCGACAACAATTACGTGTCTAAGGAGGATTATTGTTTACCTGAGAGCTGTTCTCATCTGCAAATGCTGGGATCTGGAATCGTTTGTAGTATTCTCTTCATAAAGACGCGGCTCTATTTGCTGGTGATTGTCCTGTCTCTACAGATTTGGTAAGTGAGCGACCAGTGCTCTTTGTTTATTCAGTTTGTTCGTATCTAACAAACTATTGCACAGAGTGTAAACACGTTAGCACCACAACCAAACTTTAACCTCGTGTAGGGTTTTTACCGCATTTAGTGACCGGAATAACACGCGCGGCTTTCTGACACTACCTGTCGTGTGCATCTAAGTTTCTGGGAAATGCGGAGGGTTTTTTTCTCTCATTCGCCGTGCGGTATAAAACATTGCATGAAAAATACACGCTTACAGCAGCTCCTCGAATCAAATATCTCGTGTGTCGCGAGGGGCATGAATGAATTCCCTGAATGAAAGAGCCAAACTGCAGTTAAAGTCCACCATTTAATAATTTGGCTAATAATTCGACTACAGATGTCCATGTAGGTTAAACACCATCACATTCTCCTGTATGTATGTGTGTGTGTGTGTGTGTGTGTATTTTGACTCTGAAACTCGCGCGTGCCCAAATCGACACTCCCACACCCTCCCACTTTAGTTCCTCCGACACTCCCCCCTAAACAGAGCTGGACACGCCCACTTTTCTGACTTTTTCCAAAGAAGAGGTGTGAAAACACCCTGCTGAAACGAGGGGGTTTCATGGCCCTTTAACATTCCAGAAAACAATCTGGGTGAATCGCCAGGACAATAAAATCACTTGGCGACGAAAAGTCTGGCTTAGTAATCCGTGGTGACATGTTAACAAGTCTGGGAGACTTCACAGAACCACTCTCTGCCTACTTCAAAAGAACATGACAGATAAGATAAGAAAGAAAATGAACTCATCAAATCCAGAACCAGCACAAAACCAATGTGTTATGTTTTGTAAACTTTGTATCTCATTTCTGACTTTTCTTACCTGTGTAACATCTCTTATAACCTGTATGCATGTTCCATTTAGGCCTTTGTAAAGCATAAATATTGTAAGGATATGAAAAATTATGTTGATGTACTTTCAACCCCCCCATGTTTGGAACCGATGGGTTTCTGCTGACATTTTACAACACATGATGCATAGATCGAGACCATAACTCGCATTGCTTTATTCTTTAAAGCCCTGTATTAAATGCCTGTCCGCATGCTTTAGGCGGACGCTCAAATTTGCATACGAGCAGCCCAGAGACAAAGGAAGGTTCGCGCGCAAACTTTCCCCTGAAATCATTGGTTAGAATGCTGTACGGGTTGTCACGTGACCCACAGGTATAAGCACACTTCCCCCCAAACATCTGGGCAGAAAGAGAACGTCCCAAAAAGGAACATCATTGACGGTGGCCCTCGGGCCACACGTGGCTTTCTAAGCCGCATGGACTTTTTCCCGCCACGCTTTCTTTATTTTTCCGGCAAAGTAAATTCAGTTTAAAGTTTGCGATCGTGTTCGTCCGAACTGCATTACAAACTCCACGCATCAAAGGACATCAAGAGTAGTTTCATCACGACGGAAGAGAGACGCATAAGAGAGACCGCCAGACATGAAAAACCAGGTGATTTTAGTTATGCGATTAAGCTATGCCCCTTTTATCAAAAAGGTGTTTTTTATAACCTTGGTGGTCCGTAATGGTGCGTGTGGAACTGAAAGTTTTGTCACTCTTTTATCTGAAATCTATATTTTCTAGCTTTACTATTTCTATTTGCTGTTACACGTTCTATAGACCCGATATTTCACATGGTTTACCTTTGTTTTGTGTTTAATGTATGTTTGTGCGTTTGTTTGTTCGTTACGTCTGACTAGTCAATAAATTCCATTATAATCAAATGAATTGTATTGTTTGCCTTACGAGAAAATGTCACTGAAATACAGATTCCCCTGCCTTGCTATTATAAGTTGTTTAAACTTTTGAATGATTAATCTACTTCACAAGAAGTAGCAATTAAATTCCCTTTTTCTAAATGAATAGATTACCGTGTCCGCTAGGAAGAGCGGCGGCTCTGCTTGTGTTTGTTTGGTCAAATTAACAATAAATTGATCCGGAATATTAATGATTAATAATAATTCGTTATTGTTGATAATTAATATTCATAATCTGGGAATCCGCTCGGTCGCGCGAGCATGATCATTTACAATCATATGTTTGTTTGACCAAACTGACTGAAGCTTAAGCCGGAATATTAATAATTAAGAATAAACCGTTATTGTTGATTATTAATATTCATAAAATGAGCTAATTTCATGTTACAATTGATTATTTCAAACTCGCAAACACAGCCTCATGATCACGTCTGCAACTAGCTGGCAACACGTAAGTCTGTTCATTCACAAACTATGTGTGAAGTGAAAGTCTATCTTTGTGTATTATTGTGTGAACTGTTTAATACATCTGCATAGTTGTCCAAATTAATGTACTGAGTGATTTATAACGGACGCATGCCCATACAGGATCCTAGCAAAGCTCAATGGTGTTTCTGTCATAGACTGTAAAATAAACTTGCATTTGAGTTTCAGGCGGTCTTTGGTGGAGCTGTTTACTGTTCATGTCAGCGATCTCTTAATAATATCCAGCTGCAAACTCAGCCACCATCAGATCGAAGCGTTTCAACAGATTTAGGGTGTTTACTGTATTTTACATTTGTTTGTGTATTTTTGAATAGTAGATATTTAAATGTTAGATACTCAGTCAGTTCAGCTTAAAGCAAAAGCTGCTTCTTTGCAATCTCCCTCTTGACTTGTGGTTTTCTTTGAATCTATGTATGTTTGAAGAAAAAATTATAATATAGACCATATAATCATATATAGATTATATAATAATAATAGCAATTATATATTTGTCAGAAAAAAATTCTTTGAATAAATAGCTTATAAGTAGAGATCAGTATATAAGTAGATCAATTTACTGTAGTATAATGTAATATTTAACCATGTTAAACCACTTTTAAGGGAAAACAGATATTAATGTTATATTAACAGCATTTTGGCTAATATAGAACTAGATCCTCTAAATACTTTTGGATTAATACTTTTTTTTTTTGACTTTACGTATCAAACTTTTACCAGTAGCAACAGATAACTTCTGGCATCATGTCATGAGGCTAATTTTTTTTGTCAGCAGTGTGCTTTTTATATAATGTGTATTATATCTCTGAATGAGTGCAGTTCAGTACCTCCAGTAGGCAGAGATCTGCTCAGAACACAGGTGGAGAGAGTAGTGGACTGACACCAGAGTTCGGTCTCAACCGCGAACACTACCATTAATAGCAATAAAAAAAACATTCATCAATATAATCCTCAATTTACACAATTATTTGCTAAATCAGACGTGTATGTATTATTAAACTTCTGATATAATTCACCGTCAACCACAACTAACAAAGCACCAATTCAACTTTCCAAAGATGATTGATTTACCTTCAGAGTTATGTGCTTCAAATTTGGTCTCAAATGGTGGGCCAAAGAATGCTGTTGAGGTTTCTCTATTACATCAACCAGAAAAAAAAGAACAAAATTAAAACATTTAGGCAGTGAAGTTGTTGTATTGTTATATAATGTAAAATGATGACACACTAACCTGGTTGGGTCCGAACTAGGCCCTGGGGTTGTAGTGGGTGTTGGAGTAGATCGTCTTGGTCTGGCTATCTCTTCACCTGAAAAACACAAAGAAGACTATTCAGTAAAAAGTGATTATTATGATCTATGCGCTAGAGTGATATCGCAATACATAAAATGTCAGTCTTTTACAATAAACACTCACTTGACAGGTTCCGTTTCACTGGGCACTGTGACGAAGGTCACGAAAGAAGAAATAGAAAAAACAAATACATTTAAAAAAAAATGCTAAATTACATTAATATTAACATGATGACACAATGGAAAAGAAAATCTTTTGCTTTAATGTTTACAAATGTACTGTTTTTCTATAGCACATACAAAAAATAGGTTTTCTTTCATTTCTATTCAAAGGTTTAGGTTCAGTAAGATTTTTTATAATGTTTTTGTCTCGTTTGCTTAAGACTAAAATACAGTAAACCAGTGTTATTGTGAAACAATTTACTAACAATTCATTAACTGTTTCCCACTGTAATATATTTAGAAAATTGTGCCAAAGCTGAATTTTCAGCCTCATTACTGCCTTCAGTGTTACTTGACATCATTTTAAAATATTAATTGTTTGTACAAAAAACATTCTTTCTTACAAAATGTCTTTAAATGTAACTTTTGCTTTATTTATTATTGCTGAATAAAATGTTTAAATCCTTCTAAATTAATAATAATAATGAGCAAACTAATAAAAAAACTAACTAATGAATTATTTCTCACTGACCCAAAACCTTTGATAGTCCAGGCAATAGGTGGGCAACATGACTAAAAAAACAAAAAAACAAAAAAGTACATTCCGACTAAATGAACCACAACCAAAAACAGAGATATACTCAGATTTGTGACCACCCATACAAACATTCTACCACTGCAACACATATTGTCATACTGCCCAGCCTTACACCAAATCATGAAAGAGTTGGCACGACGGCATTGTTTTTCAGTAGTTCTTCATTAGCCTCCCTGACACAACTGATGAGTGACAAATGTCTTCAGCTAATGGAAAACAGAGTCCACATGCCAAATTCCAGCTGACATTCACATCCAACATGCTGAAGCTGCAGATGATATCAAGAATCTAATGATTTGTTTAGATTGATCCATGAGCATATAAGTAATCTGTTAGTACAGGCTAGTACAGCAGTAACACAACAACAGAATGAAAGGTTCAGTGAAACACTTTTAACTGGAGTATTTCAGTAAGAACTATACTTACTGGACTTCGCCTCTGAGATCAGCAAAAAAGGAGAAAGAATAGACCTAGTCAGAGAACGGAGCACTATTAACAACAACAACAACAACAAAAATACATTCAGAAGGGGAAAATCTGTCTGTGCTAGATCTTTCATCATCCAGTGCACTCAAAAACAATGTAATTAACAATGCACAAAACATTTGTGACTTTACTTCACTGGAGATCTGAATACCAGAGCGTATGCAAACATCCATATTATTCTGATCTGATGCTTTCATTGAACACACAATATTCAACTAAACTGTACTTGTAAACATCTTGTTCTGCCTGCATACACTATGTTTTAGTTTTACTTTCATAAAGTATTAGTAGACATTAACTTGAATTTATAAAACCAGTTAAAAATCTTCTTTAATGATAAAGAAAAAAGGTCACATACATCTTGGATGGCCTGAGTAAATTAGCGGAAATGTTTTATTTTGGGATGAGCTACCAGTTTAAAGTTAAATAAAAGCTGAAATGCATTATGAATGCATTTCTGTTGATTGTGGTACCAGCAACAGCATGTTCATTGACATGTATAACTTGAATGTAATGTACTGCAAGTTGCTTAGAATAAAAGCATTTGCAAAATGCATGAATGTATATGTACATAGAGTTAATGATTAAATGATGTAAATTAAATAATTTCCATTTAAAAACTAATGTTCTTTCAGTATTTTTATTTAATTATAGCTCTATTTACACACCACAAATACAGTTCTGATTCATAATGATACTAATAAAATTTACTACTATTTAAATACTCTAAATAACAAAAAAAACTAAAACAAAAATTTTAAATGGTACAAGTGTATAATAGTAAAATACAATGACAACTGGAGAATGTAATAATACACTGCAGTTCAGAAGTTTCAAAAGGTGTCAGTAAGATTTAAAAAAGAGTCTTTTTACTTTGTGACAATGCATTTAATGATAAAAAGTGACTTGGAAACATTTATCATGTTACAAAAGATTTGAAAAGCTCAATAAATGTAACAGATTCCACAATGTATCAACAGTTTTCAGTGATGATAATTATAGTGAGTAATATGTATAAGCACCAATTCAGAATGATTTTTCAGAAATTTTGCTAAATTTATTAAAGATTATGTTATTCTAAAGTAATTTTGTTAAAACAGAAAACTGTTGTCAAACTTTACAATAAGGTTCGTTAACTTACTAACATGAATTGAGATTCAACAATTCTTATACCACAACTAATTATTGTAGTTCATGCGCTGCATGGTTACATTACATCTGTTGAAATTTTACCCCACCAGTACAGCACTTTAGAGAGATTCACCATTCACTGTTATGATTCTGAGAGCTCTGGTAAACTAAACTAAGATAAACCCATGCATGTGAATCATGTTGCACAATTCTAACTGTATCTTTAAAGTGTGAATGCATTTGCTTACCGGACTCTTTCTCTGTGTGTGAAAAGAAAAGAGCAGAGGAAATCATCTCAGTAATTGAGTGTGATTTTTGTGTCTGCAGTGATAGGGAAAACTGTGATACTAACCAAAGGAGAAGGAGATATGGCCAGTGTCCCCACTGAGGCCTTCAGCTCATTCATTGCAGAAACTGTGCAGTTTCCACTATTTGCTGTCAATGGCTTGATCTTGATCTTAAATTTCTTCCCATGCTCCTCTTCTCCTTCTGACTCGCTGGAGGAGAAGAATGTCTTGACTTTTGGAGCTGGTGGGTCTTGTTAAGGTTAATTCAAGAATCCCCTTTATTCTCTTTCTCTACTCTGCTCTTTTGATACAGGGCGTATGCTTTCAGCATATTATGAACTAAATGCCTGTTACCCTATACAGTTAAAGTCAAAATTATTGGCCCTCCTGTGATTTTCTTTTTCAGATATTTCCCAAATTATGTTTAACAGCAGGGTTTTTTTAACAGTATTTCCTAATAATAGTTTTTTTCTTCTTTAGTAAGTCTTATTTGTTTTATTTTGTCTGAAATAAAAGCAAAGTCAGTATTAATAACCCCTATTAATAAATCTTTTTGTTCTGCATGTCTACAGAACAAACCATTTTTATACAATGACTTGCCTAATTACCTTAACATGTCTAGTTAACATAATTAACCTAGTTAAGCATTTAAATTGCATTTTAAGTTGAATACTTGTATGTAAATGTTATGTACTGTCATCATGGCAAAGATAAAGAAAATCAGTTAATTAAAAATAGTAATCAATCATGAAGATTCTGCAGCACGTGTTACACTATAATACAAACACTATCAATGGGGCTGTTTTTATCATCCTTTACAAGTACATACAAAGTAGATTTGTGCTCTCCACAACAGAAAAATATGTCTTCTCTACATGTGGACAAAACAAACCAATTGGCTCCAACTAGGCAGCTCAGAATTAGTTCTCTTTTTGGAAAGAATGTAATATTTAATTTTAATTTGTCCTGCCTTCATTTAAATGAGTAATCTTTAAACAGGTTTTTAATTTTTATTTTATTCTGTCATCTAAGGTCTGCTTATGAAGTTTGTGTGGATTTACTTTTAAAAACTTCAAAAGCTTTTTCTACATTGGTTTTGAGACTGTGTTCTAGTGATTTTTAAGGCTGGAATGCCCTGAGGGCTTGAAAGTAAACACCCACAGCTATAATTGCATAACCCTTCTTGGGTGCGTTTTTGAAAAACATTGTTACCCAACTAAGGTCACACTTTCTGTCGTTACAATTACAGTTTTATGATTTAGTGTTTACCAAATCCATTATTCCAACGAACATTAGCAAACTGCACTGCAATCTTGTTTGTACGCACTTGTACAGTTGCAACTACAACTTAAGAGCTGTAGTTCCCCTTCAAGAGGGGTACTTTAATGCTATGTGGAAACTTCTACTATAGGGATTTCGTCAAAATCCAATCATCTGAAGGAGTACAAAAACAAGCCAATGAAATGCCTATGAGTTGGCAGCGTCAGCATGCACAGCTGGCGTCACTTACAATTAACCTTGTATAAAACACTGCACATGCCAAGCTGAAGCACCCATTTCGCTTTCAGATCCTTTGACAAACCTTCTGAGAGAGTCATATGAGGGTTTCTACGACTGTTACGACAGAGAGAGAGTACAAAAAAGTGGTCTGCTTCTCCCAGTCCAGAGTGTGCAATACGTAGTGGCAGATGGTCTAGCTGGGTTTCTCCCCTGCCTGATGTTCTTTGGGTCCGGTCCTCCAGAGCAGTTCGTATTGTTGCAAATTTCCTAAAGAGCAACAGAGTTGTTCAGTGCGTCTTTTTCAAGGCAACGCTCTGACCGTTAGTTTCTGGATGTGTTGGTTTCCTGTCCTTGGATGATAGGCACGAGCACTGCGTTTCATGTCTGGGGGTCCAGCATGTTGATACGGAGCTCGCAGGCAGTGCATACCATCACTGCAGTGGCATGTTTGTTGCGAGGTTAAGATCACAGCTCACTCTTGCATAAGGGCCAACAACCCCAGTTGTCCCTTGCTCCGCGGTTGGCACTCGGGCAGATTTGAGAGTCACTGTGGGAGTAAATTCAGCTCCCTCAGGCTCGGGGACCTCTAGCTCCTCCACACGCTTCATCCAAGCTTCGAATGAGAGAAGCCCTCTGTCCTCAGATGGTCATCCACTCACTTAATGACACCGAGGATCAGAAGTCCATCGCTGCGTCCATCGGAGGAAGGGCTGTCATTGTCTGATGAAGATTCAAACCCGCTCCCTCCCTCCGGGGCAGCTAGCTCGGCATCAGATCTAGAAGCAGACATGATAACCGTGCGTTCCCGGGCTGCTTTGATCGTGGGCCTGGAGATGGTTTATGCCCAAGCCCACGGATGGACTGACTAGATGGGTGTATTGTGGAGGATGTAAAAAAGGCAAGACCTTCTAAGCCTCCCATCCCCTTCTTCCCGGAAGTGCACAGCAGGCTCATGCAGTCTTGGAGGGCACCTTTCTCTGCCCGATCTGTGTGTACCTCCGCCCTCACCGGCCTTGATGGCGAAGCAGCCAGGGGGTAGCAGGCAATTCCCCAAATTGAGTGTGCCATTGCAGGTCCGCGTGGTGCCTCTTCCTGGTGGGTTTAACCTTGTCTCCTGTTAAAAGCGTGCAGGTTATCTGCCTCTCTCTCGGAGCCAGAGCATACATAGCCCCGGGCCAGGCTGCTTCCACCCAGCACGCTATGGCCACCTACCAACGCTACCAAACAAAGACGCTGGCCCAGCTGCACGAGAGTGGTCACAACCCAGGCTTGTTACAAGAGTACAGTTTTAACTGGAATTTGTGGATTGTAACTACCTATTGTGGTAATTGATAAACGTTTGCCAACGTAGACCTGAGCCCATGTGGTGATACCACTTATAGGTGAATGACGATTCTGGATGCTGTGCCGCCTGAACAGTTGTTCAGCTCAGACTTGCGGCCTTGTCTTTTACGCACTGAAAATTCTCCAGATACCTTGAATCTTTTAATTATATTATGCACTGTTGAAGATATAATATCCAAATGTCTTTCTTTGAGTAACATTGCTTTAAGACATTTAAATAATTTTCTCACATATTTTTTGGCAAACTGGCGATCCCCTGCCAATGTTTACTCCTAAAGGACTAGACGTTTCTTGAATGCTGCTTTTGTAGCAAATCATAATTACAATTACCTGTTAACATCACCTGTTTCAAATCACATCATTTCCCCAATTTACCTGATTACTAGCCCTAAATTACCCTTATCACTAATTGTTTTGGAATCTGTTACTGGTCTGACTGACATAAAATTATGTATGTTATCATCTACAATGAAATACAAGTCAAAATAAATTTGGAAATCACTACTTTCTTTTTTATTTGTGTTTTCCATTCAGTCCCAACCTTTTCCGATTTGGGGTTGCAATATAATTGTCTACCTGAAATAATGCGCTCCACCGATAATAGTTTTCAAAGTTTATAGCTATAGCTATAATTGCGGTTTAACTTAGCAAAGACGCATTAGTAATGAAATAGTCTGGCTCTTTACCAACTGTATATCAAAAGCTCAAGAAAAAATATGCTTTCTCAGTTCATGACACCTTAAACTTTACAGTGCTTTTTATATTCATGAAGAGCTTCAGCCTACAGACTACATAAAAGGTAATATCTGAAAAAGTATCATAGAGGCACAACAACTAATTAAAGCAACAAAATAGTACAGATTAATTTGTCAGTAAAAATTGAAAGGATATTTCCCCCTTGTTCTCCAGGTTTAACACTGTACCCCTCATCATCCACATCAGGAGAGTTCTGTTATGGTATAAGAAAACTGATGAGGCATTACATCCAAAAGAACTATAAAGACAGTATGAAAATCAGCAGATAGAAATTAACTTACATATCGATCCCAGTCAATCTCACCATAGAAGCCATTAGGAGCCCCATTAGTTTTTTTCTGGGAATAAAACATGCGAGATAAAGCACTGTTACCGTGATCACACAATAAAATTAGAGATGCACAATATATTGGCGGTCATATCGTTGTGGGACGATAAATGCTATTTTTAAATGTTATCGTTCTGATGTCAAAATTAGGCTGACATCTTTAAGCCAATGGGTTACATAATTGTAAAGATCTGCCTGCCTCATGTATGCATGGGCGAAACTCGTGCATACTTGTCCAGTGCATAATAAGAGCTTTTCTTAAATTGTTTCATTCAAAAACGTCAAAAAAGTTTTGTTTGGTTTAAATCGCCTCAGGAAAAACATTACATGTGTAAACATAATAGCGGCAATGCACAAGTGCTAAACAACTTGAGTTGTTTGTAATCTAATATGATTATTTGTTCTGTAAAACTTTAGAATAACTATCCGTTACAACTAATTAATAGATCATTAATAAACTGTTAATTAAGGAGTTATAAATGACTTGTTAAATAATATTGTTAATTATTTATAAATATCAGTTTTTAACTAGTTAATGGTCCATTAATGAACTATTAGTTAATGAGTTATAAATTACTTGTTAAATTAAATTTGTTAAGTATTTATAACTGTGCTTTATAGATAGGCAAAAGATAACTTGCAATCTGTTAGTTAACAAGTTATAATGACATGTTAACTGTATTTTAATGATTTATAACTATACCTAATAAATTAGTAATAGATCATAAACAAGATGTTGGTAAAATACCCACTAAAGACATGTTAAGTATCAGTTAAAAGTTTATATATGTTATTGGGACAATATTCTAAAGTTGCAACTATTATTCATTTATTAACTGTTAGTAAATGAGGAATAGTTGCAACTTTAGAATAACGTCCCAATAACATACTTAAGCTAATGACTGACACTTAACTAATTTATTAACTCACACTCAACAGATCACTTGTTTAGAGTGTGTTAACTATCTACTAATACCAGTGAAACTGTAGAACAGCAAATGGATGGAACAAGTTCAAGCCACAGAAATTTGAAGGTGATATTAAAAATATAAAATGTTTGTACCTTAACCTTGTTCCACTCGTAGGCTTATTTGTGTGCTGTATTTTACCAAAGAAACTCCACAGATGCAATGTTGAACATTGTGTTTAATGTATAGAAACACACATACACATGGCAGAACAACAGTATACAACAGAATACAAACCCATGAAGTTTGAGCACTTTTTGTGCTAAACATGAAAACAAAATAAATAAATAAATATTTTATTAGAAAAGGTCTACAAAGTTTTGATGGTGTTAGTAGATGGTTAAAAAACTATGAACAACTGATCTGTAAAGTGTGAGTTAATATATTAAGTGTTAGTTATTAGCTTATGTATGTTATTGGGACGTTTTTCTAAAGTTGCAACTATTTCTCAATTACTAACAGTTATTAAATGAAGAATAGCTACAACTAGAATAACGTCCCAATAACATATATAAACTATTAACTGAAACTTAACACATCTTTAGTAAGTAATTTACTAACAGCTTGTTCATGATCTAATACTAATCTATTAGGGATAGTTATAAATCATTAAAATACAGTTAACAAGTCATTTATAACTCGTTAACAACAGTTTGTAAGTTGTCTTTTGGCTATCTATAAGGTACAGTTATAAAAAATTAACAAACCATTAACTTTTATTTAACAAGTCATTTATAACTCATTAACTAACAGTTTATTAATGGAGTATTAACTAGTTATAACTGATAGTTATTCTAAAGTGTTACCATTTATATTTATCAGCTATAGTATATCGGCAATCAGCCTCAAAAAATTTCAAGTTATCGGTTATCGATATCTGCCAAAAAATCAATATCAGTGCATATCTAGATAAAATAAAACCCTATGAAGGTAATTCAGTAGCAAACCTTGAGAGCTTGCAAATCTAAATGTGAGAACTTGTGATAATAATATGTGTATGTGTAGGCTACACTCACAGCTCTGACGTGAAAAGCTAAATCTCTCTATATCTCACACAGACAATAATCAAAATAAGTGTGTTTTGAATTCGAAGTTGCAGATTAATAGTTACATATTTGTAAAATGTCATTCACAAATACAAAATGACAGACACAAATGTTTTCTTTTGTATGAATATTTTATTATTTTTACTTTGTTTTTTAACTATTTTATAAAGATTTTTGTTGAATATCCTCATTGTACTGAAATGTATATACCAAGAGCAGTAAGGATTATATAACTACCTTAAAGTATATAATTATCCTTCCTTCCTCTATTTAATTAAAATAAATACATAAAAAGCAACAAACAACAGTATTATAAATAATCAATTAGCAACTTGAGACCGACCTTCAATTAATGTGACAAGGTAACATTTATGACTCTATTACGAAAAAGTTCCTACATGGGTCACTGAGTATCTTTTTTTATCAATACTCACAGTGGGACGCTAATAATTAACATACAGATATTTTCATATAAAATTGTTATTTAGCAATATCAAATCAATAGCTAAAAATATATATTTCTAGTGCACAACAAGTAATGGGGTTATGAACAATTATTGTACCAGAAAAGCTTAGTTTAACTATTTGATTAAAAAGAGAAGGACAATTATATAGTATAACTCTGTTATATACAGTGCATCCGGAAAGCATTCATAGCGCTTCACGTTTTCAACATTTTTTTATGTTACAGCCTTTTTCCAAAATGGAATAAACTCATTTATTTCCTTAAAATTCTGCACACAACACCCCATAATAACAATGTAAAAAAAGATTCTTTGAAATTGTTGCAAATTTATAAAAAATAAAAAACCTGAAAAATCACATTTACATAAGTATTGACAGCTCTTGATGTGAAGCTCTAAATTGAGATCAGGTACATTCTACTGATCATTCTTGAGATGTTTCAGCAGATTAATTGGAGTTTACCCGTGGTAAATTCAGTTGATTAGACATGATTTGAAAAGGCATACACTTGTCTAAATAAGGTCCCAGGGTTGAAAGTGCATGTCAAAGCACAAGCCAAGCATGCAGACAAAGGAACTGTCTATAGACCTCTGAGACAGGATTGTCTAGAGGCACAAGGCTGGGAAAGGTTACAGAAAAATTTCTGCTGCTCTGAAAGTACCAATGAGCACAGTGACCTTCATCATCCGAAAGTGGAAGATGTTTGCAACCACCAGCACTTCCTAGAGCTGGCCGGCTATCTAATTGATCAGGGGAGAAGGGATTAAGTCAAAGAGGTGATCAATGATCCATTGGTCACTCTGTCTGAGCTCCAGCTTTCTTCTGTGGAGAGAGGAGAACCTTACAGAAGGGTAACCATCTGTGCAGCAATCCACCAATCAGGCCTGTATGGCCAGACGGAAGCCACTTCCCTGTATGGAATTTGCCAAAAAGGCATCTGAAAGATTCTCAGACCATAAAAAACTAAATTCTCTGGTCTTATGAGACTAAAATTGATATCTTTGGGGTAAATGCCAGTTGTTATGTTAGGAGAAAATCAGGCACCACTCATCACCAGACTAATACCATCCATACAGTGAAGCATGGTGGTGGCAGCATCATGGTGTGAGGATGTTTTTCAGTTGCAGGAACTGGAAGACTAGGATAGAGGGAAAGATATATGAAAACCTGCTTCAGAGTGCTCTTGACCTTCCAGCAGGACAATGACCCAAAGCACATTGCCAAAATATCAATGGAGTGGCTTCACAATAACTCTGTAAATGTCCAGCTAGAGCCCAGACCTAAATCCTACTTAATATCTCTGGAGAGATCTGAAAATGGCTGTAAACCGTCACTTCCCATCCAACCTGATAGAGCTTGCAGCTGTTCACAACAGACGTAGAACGATATTCGCGTGTAAATAGACATGTGAACATTTGAGTTTACTCGCTTCATTCGTGGGTCAAATCCCGCTTCATTCATGCGTCAAAACCTGCTTGATTCGTGTGTCAAATTCACTTCACATCAGACGTAGATGATGGGCAGGGCTTCTGTCTGCCCAGTTACTCTAGCTTCGTTGCTAAATGGCTAACATGGATTTTATTAAGAAAATAACTGTGCTTATGTGATTTATGAAGGCTGAAAAACAGCGTTGATAAAATTTGCAATGTCTGAATCAGCCATGTCTGAATCCACTAGATACTTTCAGAGGTGCACCCAGCTACTTAAATAAGTCAATTCACTGTCTTGTTTCATGTTGTACTTACTGATTTTTCCTTGTCTGGTGATCCACTGAAAAAAACAAAATAAATTGTTCTGATTATCAGATATGTGACTTAATAGGTATAAGTACAGTATATACAAATAATCTAGGTATATATAATTTACTTAAAATTAGCTAATATATAGTGCATATATTTGTATAATATGATTTTATGGCCCAAATAGCTTTATATGACACACCAGTACCCCATTTACTGACCATCTCATATATAATAAACACAAAAAAGTTATATACACTGGCTGAAAATAATAGTATTTTTTCAGTTGAATGAATCTGATATGCAACTTCCAAAAGTCAGGTGTATTTTTTTACCATATTCATATCACATATTGTTCCTACTCACGTGGAGTCACTGTCCTTTTCTTTTTTTCGTATCCCGAAGGCCTTTCGGGTACGCTTTTTCAGTCCTGTTAAAAACATGCTTATGGTCAGAAACCATGAATGAAAAATCAATTAATCAATCAACCAATCAATCAATAAACCAATCAACCAACCAACTAACCTATCTATCCATCCGTACATCCATCCATACATCCATCAATGGCCTTTAGCAGACCAGCCTTGTATAGTGATGCGTTTTTGTCACTTTTATCACAAGTGGACAAAAGACACACATTAATGTCCACACCTGGTGGTTTAATGTGTTTCTTTTGTCCACTTATAAGGGAGGATATAGGTATTGACTCCCCGACTGTTAATGCTGTGAAAGCTAGTACAATTTTCAATTAAACGCACCTTAAGAATAGGTAACTTTATGCATTGACTAATAAAATTAAAGATAACTGATCTATTTTATGGTATCCTGGTCATTTATTTTTCCCAGTGTCTGTGTGGGTTTCTTCAAGATGCTCTGGTTTTCCCCAGTCAAACACATACGCTATAGGTGATTTGGACAAACTAAATTGGCTGTAGTGTATCTGTGTGAATGAGAGAGTGTATGGGTGTTTCTCATTTCACTCTCAGTGCTGGGTTGTGGTCTGAAAGTCATCTGCTGCATAAAAACATGTGCCAGAGTAATTGACAGTTCATTTCGCTGTGACGACCACTCATTAGCAGGGCCAAAGCTGAAGGAAAGCAAGTGATTTATTTCTGATCAACTCCTAGTCCTTCACTAGGCTTGGGTGGTATCCAAATTTTGATACCGTCAAACCTCCTCCCTATTTTACCACAGTATCCGCTATTACCGTGCATAATAAATATGTATATGACGTAATAAATAATGACATATGGCTCAGACAGCGTCACCAAACTGTTGGCTTGTGCCTAAACTATTCAGAAACTGAATACCGTATTTGTGACCTTAGGTTCGCGGTCACCTGTTTGTCTTGTTCGTATTAGAGATCTGCGCAAGACGCTCTCTCTCATTCACACACATGCACACGCACACGCACACACACACACACACACACACACACACACAGAGAGAGAGAGAGAGAGGGAGAAAGAGAGAGCACCAAGCGATGCACCAAGCTACACTCTCTCTCATTGTCATTAACACACACACACACACACACACACACACACACACACACACACACACACACACACACACACACACACACAGCATCCACGCGGATGTACGCGTGCTCGCTCGCTTAGGAGCGATATTGCTAGACAGATATTACACAGAGTTCCCGACCGCTCGCGCGATTTATTCGGAAATTTATTCCCACACCGCAAGAAAACCTGTCGGGTCCCACTGTACAGCAGCCGGAATGCAGACCTCTAGTTCATATTTACCATGTCTACCTTCTCATTTGGTCGAAACCGGAAATACTGCCAAACTTCAGGTCACTTGGTGCACGACTCGCCACCTCACCTCTTCCTCTCTCTCTCTTCTCTACACTATCCCTTGATGACAATCATATGCATTTGTAGGCATTAAATAAATAATATTTAGCATTTAATACTTGTGTCCTATTTAAGTGCAAGCCTAGCCTTCACACTTTTTTGTTCTGTTCTGTGCTTTTAACATGTATATACGGTGCTGTTTTAGGTGTCTTTAAATAAAATAAGTAACACACACAATATATATATATATATATATATATATATATATATATATATATATATATATATATATATATATATATTAGGGCTGTAACGATACACGATATAAAATCGAAATCGCGACACTCAGATCTACGATCCTGTGTCGCGGTGTGATAAGGGAGAATCGCAACACACCCTGTGATACCTTTCCAATAACGTCACGCGTGCCTGCAAAAGTTAAGCTAATTAACACTTTTTTTCGTTGGACATTACAAGCACTGCTCCGTTTAAGCCCTCCAATATTTAGCCGGGAGAGCTCGCACGGAGCTCTTAGTAAGGGACCGTCTGATTGTGTCAGGAATATTAAAAACAAAACCAACTTAACCCCGCTTGACAACAGACAACGCCAGAAACATTGCCAATGCTGTCAAAGCGGCCGGATTTTCAGCGCATATACGATGATTTGCTCACACTGTTAATGTGGCTGCGCAGAGAGGGATGGGCGTTCACCAGATGTCAGGTAACAGCGCAAACTTTTCTGTAACCGTGCTGTGCGATTTCTGTTTGAACCTTAGAGAGTGCTGACTGACCAGCCGAATTGCCGTGAGATTGTGTTTCACGACGAAGCTTTCAGTTAAGATGAACACAGTTTCTGTAGTTATACTTTATTTAGAGATAAAGGTATATGGCTCTCAATCTTGAGATGCATAATCACTCAATCTTGCTGGAGTTTATAGCCGTTTCGCTTTACTTCAGGACGCATTAACGCCGCTCTGAAGGTCTAATCGCTGTTTTAGGTTATCCAGAGCTGTATGAATATACAAATCTTGAATATCACAATAGTATTAAATATTACTATTGTAACAACACAGACAGCAACACTTTTGCACAATCGATATCCAGCTGATTCAGTCGTTTATAAGAGGACCGAGCCTCTTCTTTTTTCCTTGTCAACAAAGGCAGTGAGGTGCGCCTCGTTTTCGCCCCTTGTTTAACTGCAAGGCATACTTATTTTGCGGGACCATAACGTGTAACCCGTGCCTACTGACACATTTGCCAAAGAAGCAAAATGGAAGAAGAATATTGCTGTTTGAAACAGACCTGTTGATGCTTAACCAGCGCTTATGTTGACCTGGATCTGCGTAATAAACGCAACAAATAGGCTTTACTTTTTATTTTACAGCTTATAAAGCATGTACGCAGATTAATGCAATATCATATTTAAACAACAAAACTGTTTACAAAAAGTCTACATATGAGCGCATTGTTGCTGTCTTTTCATCACGCAGCGCGCGCACTTGAACCGCGAGGGAGAGAGAGGAAACCATAGACTATATCAGGACAATCTTTAAAATAATGATTTCTATTAAAATGTAAAAGGTTTTGTGATTATAATAATAACAGTGGGGCATTAAATAAATGCATATTTTCCGTGAAGCGAGCAATTTGAGGAAGTCTGCGATTTTTATTTGACGGAAGAAAAAAACATAGGCTATGATTGGAAAAAAAGCCTATGCCGGTTATTAAAAAGAATCAGTCAGTATTTTCGTTTTGTAATATAAATTAATTATTTAAGTGAAAATAATTTAGGGCAGTCCTATTTATTTTATTCATTTTATTTAGATTATTCTGCTCTTCTGTGCTAAATACTGCAGGTGCGTGGAAATGCTCTGTTGTTCTGTTCCGCTATTAATATTCTAACATATAAAAATAAATCAGTATTTTAAAATGCAATATTTAATGTGTCAGACACAAAATAGACACGTCAATTTGTTTAATATAAAATTAATAGTAATCTGACCAGTTAACCGTTAATAACCGATTAATGAGCGGCGGTTGTCGGTTAGCAAAATTAACGAAATGAGCATCCCTAGTAGCTTTTTAATTTACTTTTTCTATGTAAGAGAACTTGATTGAAAAATAATTTTCAACATGCTTGAACCATCTACACAATGGAGTTTAGTTCTGTTTGGTTTTTCAACAGTATTTTGTTACAAAAAACAGAAGTGATAGCTTTGGCTATTTATTTATTTTATATATGCCTATTTATGTTGTTAATAATTTGCATAGTTAATATTGTTCTTTGATGTTTAGTTTATAAAGATTTTTCAAATGTTATTTAATAAAAAATAGTTTTAAAAATCTTTTTTTTCCCACCCCACACAAAAAAAATAAAATAAAAAATCGTGATATGAACCGAATCGTGGGTTTGGTGTATCGTTACAGCCCTAATATATATATATATATATATATATATATATATATATATATATATATATATATATATATATATATATATATATATTAGTGCTGTCAATCGATTTAAAAAAATTTACTAATTAATCGCACCTTTTTAAAAAAATTTATCGCGATTAATCACATTTAAAATACTGAAACTTGTAATTTTGGCTATTTAAATGTAAAATGAATGTAAACGCAAGACAAAAAATATTTAAATTCAGAATATTATTGTTTAATAGAATTTTTGTTTAACTTGTAACACAGATTTCTTCATGTAAACAACATACCCACAATAAACCATCAAGATCCTGGCTTAACAGCCATATTTATTACAGAAATTAAAACACAGGCATGTTAATGACATTTAAATTTCAAAACAATCAATGCCAATAAAGAAAACATTGATTTCCATGTTGGATTCTAAGTGGACTGCAAAAAAATGCCAAAATACAGGAATTGCAGATATGGAAAATGAAAAATTATAATAATAAACTATAGAATACAAACTGTTGCACTCATTGTAAAGTTTTATTGCTGTGAGTTGAGAACATTAATTATAGAGTAGAAACATTTTTGCTTAATCCTCCTTTACATTCATCCAGTTGCTAGGAGTATCCCGCAAGTGCACAGAGACTCCCAAATGCCCGCAAATGAATGATAATTTCTTGCAAACCGGTCGTTAAATACATTGCACACCCCTCTCGCCCCTACTCAGATACGTCGCTCACTCCACCCCTGACACCCCTCAACAGGCCTGACACAGACACACACACAGACAGACACACACAACGCGCTGCAGACGTTTTGGCCCCAACGGCCTTCCATACTGGAGCGACTACCCTCAGATTCAACACGCATGATCATGTTCATCAAATTTGCTTAAACTAAGCGTCCTAAAGTATTACTGTATTTCACAAGGATTCTGACACAACAACGCGAAGCATACACTTTCGTTGCGTTTAATAAGGTAACACGCTAAACTTGGAGGGCTCATGCTGAAAGGCAGAGTAATGCCCTGTCTTTGACAGCTCGCGACTTCACGAGACGTTCTGAGTACATTTACATAAGACACCAATACTCAGATTTTAATATGATTAAGATAATACTCTTATTAAAATTCTACCGTGTAGCCTTAAAAGGAACCTTACCTTAAAGGAACACCGAGTCACGAAAT